GAAACTAATTGTTTATTGTTCATCAAGGAATTTTAGTTTTAAGCATATGATGTCTGTTTTTATCAAAACACAGATAAGTCTACAAAACCTTATATAAAGCACACATAAACAGGGTTCAGCACATACCTTCTGAGAATGGGGGTGTTGGGTGTCTGTAAATTAGAAATGAATTTCCAGCAATTACTGAGGACATAAATATGCTCTTTTATTTATCATAAACCATAAGGAGTGCATGATATCAGCGTACTGTTAAATTTAGCTTAATCTAAGAATTTCTGTCTCTACCTAATGCCATGATTTTAGTTTATGTAAGTTTAGTATTAAATGCCTTATCTGTTCACTTTTTTGTAAATTGGCTTGGTGTTCTGCATATTAGGTACAATTTTTCTTTGAATATATATATATATACATATATATATATGAATATATGTATATAAATGTGAATATTCATGTAATATTTTATAATTTAGGATTTTAATGGTAATAGAAGAGTTTACCTAATAACCTGTTTCAGCTATTCCAATTGCTATTACCAATAACTACCTGTAGGCTCTTCATAGTCTCACTTTAAACATCCTTCTCTCTGATTGTCTCCTCTGTCCTTCTAGCTTACTGTCTCTAGTATCCCAATTCCCGCTTTTCTTTGACCCCACCTGGACACCCAGTTCATCGATCCTACCATATTTTCATTTTCCCTTATCTCATTGATGTCCTCACTCAGCTTCCTGTCCATCTTAAGTTCTGGGGCCAGTTGTTGTAATTCTGTAGGACAGTTATTGTAATTACTCCTTTGCATGTCCTCGCAAGTGCCTTGTCCCTCTCTCAGATCATTACACGCAATTCGCTAAACCACAGCCCTGCCTAATACAGATTCTTACCCCTTTCACGCCTGCACGCCTGCAGCTGAATGTGCCTGCGAGGAAAACACACTCACTCATGTATTTCCCCCATCCCTTCCTTTCTCCATGTTTTAAGGTCATACCTGGGGTTTACTTGAACCCTGCATTGTTTTACCACAACAGAGGAATGCCCTCTCGGTCATAACTAAATGATCGCTATCCTATCTAATAAAAGAGAAACATGGTGTGCTAGAGTGTCTCATTTTTCTGGGGGAAGTAAAAATGCGCCTGTGCTTAATTAAATCTAGTTCCGGATGTGGGTCTGTGCATGGTGCTGCCAACACAGTGGACAGGTGGCCCTCGCAGCAGATGGCCAGGTGCAAAGTGTCCACCTCGGTCAGGCTCTGGCACCCAGACAGTTCATATTACCACTGTTTCATGCATGGTAATAATTGTGGGTGAGCCCTCTCTCCTACACTGTAAGCACAGGACGTTTCCCTCATGGCGTTCAGCCTCCATCCCGGACACTGGCTCGCTGTGCTAGGAGACGTTTTACTTATGGAGAACGATAAGGCTGTGGAACTTTCTGCAGTCCTGTCTCCGTCTCCAACCTGACATTCCAGCTGCATGACTCCTCACCTCAATCTGTCAGCCCCCTGTTCTGTCTCTGTATAAATCTTTGTGGGGGCACAATCGATCCTTTTATTGTGAGGAGCAACTTTGCAAAGCGCAGGAGTTAAATATTCATATTCAGGAAAGAGGTTTCTGGATTGAGTGAGAGGCAGAATAATTCCTCTTATAAATACAGTACAGTTGACCCTTGAGCAATGTGGGGGTTAGAGGCACCCCCTCCAGTCAGAAATCCCTATATAACTTTTGACTCCCCAAAACTTACTACTGTTTTGAAAACATTCTGTGTATAAGTGGACCTAAGCAGTTCAAACCCATGTTGTTCAGGGGTGAACTGCATTCATAAATTAGACTCTGACCCAGCCAAGATGCCCAACATAGCTTATTGCAAACATTAACTATTTCATTTTGCTTATAACCAAATGTATCCTTTCTTTAATCTCATATATTCATGAATGGAATATAAGAATATCCAAAATTAGTTACTAGACTGATAAAAAATTTAACAGTGATTGCTTGGTTTATTATGACTGTATGAGCTATCTGCTAAAAACAGTATAAGAACCCTTCAGTTTATTTTAAAAGAAAAAACATACCCACAGAAACTTTCCATCCAGTTTGAAAGGTAAAAAAAGAAGTGCATCAGATCTTAGGAAGGTTCAGGATAGAAATTGCTGTGGTTTTAAAGCTCTTATTGATCTAATGTTGCTTTATCTGAATGCTCAGGCCTTATGTGACAAGAGTAATCTAGTCGGTCCTTCTATTTATCTTTTTCTCCATTTTTTCATAGCTTTTGTAATGTACAATGAATTTAAATAGAACATAATACATCTCTTCTACAGAAGCAAGATCCAAAATGCTTTAAATTGCATCCCACTGATCCGTACGTGGGGTTTGCTTGAACCTTGCATTGTTTTACCACAATAGAGGAATGCCCTCTCGGTCATAACTACATGATCGCTATTTTAAATAATAGAAATAAAGAAGACCTGTGTCAGCTGGTTGTTTGCTTATCTGTTTTCAGAATATTAAAAGTATTACATTGTGTAATAGGTTGCTTCATGGTATATTTAAGGTGGGATTCCTTTGCTCCTTTTACTCCTCCGTTTAGTCTGCACATTTTTGAGATAGCTTGAATTGCTTTATCCATGTCTGTTAGATCACATGAAGCTTGTCATCTACACAATCCATTTTGCCTCTACTCAGATAAATCTGTTTGTTCCTAGACTGTTAGAAATGCCAGTTAATATCCCTGAGGTATCATGACAGCAGTTTCTTGTATAGGAGTCAGAACGGTATATTTTCTGGGCTAAGAAATCCATGAATGCTTGAAATATTGTTTACTAGGACATGAAGGCACTTTTATAACTAATATTTATCTGTGGTCAGTTAGCTTAGCAGCCATTCATTCATTCATTCATTCAACAACACCCATGAGTGGTAGAGTTCCAGACCTAGGGAGAGAGTATAGATCAGACCAGGCAGTCCTTCCTCTTAGTGCTCTCGTAGGGATGGGTACAGCCAAGCATCAATCATTGAGTATTTATTAAATGAGATGGTTCAGAAGAGTGCTAAATGATGTGAAGAAAATTACATAAGGAAGTGATAAAGATTTATGAAGATTGGTATCTAAGAAGGTCTCATTAGAGATGCATAAATACAAGCCAGCCATCTCAACATCTGAGTGAAAAGCATTCAAGGCAAAGGAAGTAGGCTATGGACAAAAAAGACAATAAGGTGGGAAATTTCTAGTACCTCTTCTGTTAGCACTCTGATACCTGATTGTTTGGCCTCCTCACAAGAACCACTGCCTCTCACACATTCCGAACTTAAATTGATCATCGACAGACTAAAATTATGGGCTAAAACCAACAAGATGAGATGTGACTGATATGAATGTAAAATGGTGCATGTGAGTCACACACCCCATTGCTCAGTATATCCACGTGGGTTGGCAGCTGTTCACATGAGAACAGTCTGGGGAGTCTAACTGACCACACGCTGGAGCTTGCTCTTTACTGTTCCTGAAAGGAAAGAAAACAATGTGTAGATATTACCCTTAGTCAGATTTCTGCCCAATGTAAGGCATCATTAGTGCATCCAAAAATGGAACAGCCTGTCTGGCTGGTGGAAACATCTCCTTTGCTTAACTGGTTAAAAAAAATAAAGAACGAATACCCATCAGGACTTTGGGAGAAAGGAAGTTCTGCAGTGTTTGTAGGCCAGTTTAAGACACTTTTTTGTTTCCTGTGATTCTGTGACTTATTACTCAATTATTTTATTCCAAATAAATGTTCTTCGTTTTGTGATATTTATATACAGTTAGGAAGAAAAAAATATCATTGGTATATAAGGTATGGTGAGGTTGATGGAAAATTGGGTTTGTAATGCCATCTTTCTAAATGGTGATCTGAAGTGTAGAATTCTTAGGCTATAATTTTTAAATGAGTTTAGATTAAATTTCCAATATGTCTTTGGCCTAGTAGAATAATAAAAATAAACATATGTATCTTGGCTTTGCCATGTGTCAGCTGTGTAACATGGGCAATTTACTTTTCTGCACTACAGTTTCCTCAAAATGAGGACAATACGTGTACCTTCCTGGAAAGATTGCCTTTTAAAGGATTAAATTAGTTGCTGTATATAAAGCAGCTGGAGCAGTGCCTGGCAATAGTACCTGCTAAGTGTTTGTTCTAATTGTTAGATGTAAATGTATTGTCTGTTCTGCCTTCAGGAATTAATGACGAAATTAATAACTGAGACGCCTGACCAGCCAATCCCATTTCTCATTGATCATCTTCAGTCCAAACAAGGAAACCGAGGGCAGCTTCAGCGAACTTTATCCGGATCTGCGGCTCTCTGGGCAGAAAGTGAAACAGCAGGTAAATGAAACAATATTTTTTTTAGTTAATTTTGATACGTGTCATGTAAAACTTTACAAAAAGTCTTTCTGATTATAGTAAGGTAAGTCTAGATGGTTACCTAGAGTTTCATGAATTAATTTGTAACTACACCCATATGCTAAAATTTGTCATAAAATATTACTGAATTTGAACATAGTGTTAGTATTATGCTTCAAGGTATGAGAATTTGTGTATTAAATTTTATGAAAACAAGAGTCAGATTTTCATGAAAAGATTTGATTCTATATGAATTCAGGCTAATTTTTCTAAGCTTTTTTTCTTTATTTCTTTTTATGAAGAATTTGAATTAAATGTCTGTAGCTCATTTGTAGAAAGGTAAACAAAAGATTTCTCCAAAGTTTCTTTTCTTGTTGTTCAAACTGATGATGATTCTCTATTCCCCCAGCCCAAATTTTATTTGTGTAGGAAGTAGAGCCTTAGAAAGGTACCTTTACTCTGCAAATTGGGAACCAGGTTTACCATGAGGGCAATACTGTAGTCTCATCTTCCCAGTGAGCCTGGTGAGATAATTGGGTAGACTTAACTTCCATATCTGCTTGTAAGATAACCCTTTTTCTTCTACACACTGGTCTGTGAGCTGGCATTTAATTTCAAAACCAAATATCCCCACGTCTGTTGCTTCAGTAGCCAGTTCCTTGGCGGATTCCCAGGGGAAATCTCACTGCCGGGCCTCCACATGCTTTCCTGCAACGACCCCCTCACTCCTCTCGTCCTCTTTATGCTGTAGTGCTGCCTTGAAAGGATTTTGTTCTCTTTGGTTGTATTCTCATGTGAGTACCCTCTTGAGACCATATCTCAAAAGCACCCTAAAGAGCATAGGGTTTAGGGGATTCCTTTCGGAATGTAGACATCTCTAGTGTCAGTTATCCATAGGGAAGTGATCTGTGTCATACAGGAAACTAGAATATGAACTTTTGGCATTAAAAAGAGCAAATTCCTCTTTCTTCTTGGCCTGACTTTCTTGGGTTTAGGCTCTGAGGAGGTTGGTATATAGGCATGGACTGTGGTTTATAGGTACAAAGAAGACACTCATTATGTTAAGCAGAAGAGATGAACATCTGTGAGCCCAGGGAAGCTCGTATGAGCCTAAACTTATAAATTATAGTATATGAAGAGGCAGGAATGTATGAAATTGCAGATTTATCAGCTTATGTTTCATATCTCACAGTTCCATGGGTCAGAAGTCTGCTCATGGTTTAACTAGATCCTTTGTTTAATCTCACAAGTCTGGAAATCAAGATATTGCCCGGGCTACACTCTGATCTGGCGTAAGAAAGAACCTGCTTCCAAACTCATTCACGTTATTGGCCGAATTAATTTCCTTGTAGATAGATGACTGGGGTCCCTGTTTCCTTGCTGGATTTCAGCCCAGGTTGCTCTCAACTCCTCCATGCAACCTGCAGTCCTATGCCACATGCCTCTGTCACATTATGGCAGCTTACTCCTTTCAAACCTGCAAGGGGATTTGTCTCATTCAGGTTTAATAAGATGGAATCCTATATAACATAATCATAGCATTGACATTCCATCACCTTTGCCATATTCTATTGGTTTGAAGTAAGTCAAAGATCATGTTGACACTGAAGGAGAGGGAACTGTATAAGGTATAACATCAGGGGACAGAGATCATGGGGGTCATCTTAGAATTCTGACTGGCACAGTGCTTAATGACCCACTGCTTAGAGCTGGTGAAGGAGGGGTGGAGATTACTATAACTCACAGCTTATTAGCTTGAGTAATGGTATAAATGCTTGTTTAATAAAGTAAGATAGCATCACAGGACTAAATTTATGAATGATAGTAAGTTCAGTTCCTCTTGATGGATTTGATCTTCTTGTGGGGCATGTTAGTAGATAATTCCAGCAGGCAGGAATGAGTCTAAAACTCTTGGGGATGGGTCAGGGCAGGAGTCATAGGTGAGGCATTCATAACATACATAAAATCATTAAAACTGTGGGAGTGAAGGAATGGAAGAAGTTGTGGTTAAATTAACAGATTGAGTAGGAGATGGACTGGGAGAAGGCCAGTGTGAGGTCATAGCTGATACCTAAAATTTTGCCTGTCTATTGAGAAGTGAGGTTGTTTACTGAGGACAGCTGGAGCTCTTCAGGAGGCCAGAGTAAGTGAAGGTTCAGTGAAATGGGAGAGGTGCAGAAGGACAGCAGACTGTGCTATCTGAGACTTGAGGTGGAATGATTCCAGATAATGAGGAAGTCCTACTGATGGCCATAGTGTGGGAGTGTCATAAGCATCAGGGAAGTGAAGCTTTCAAAGTTGAGGACAAGGAAGTCTGAGGCTTAATGGGTGGTTTTTTAAGGATTAAGAGGTCACCAGGGTTTCATCCAAGTTGTTGAAAGGTCTAGGGAGACTGCCAATATCGTGAGTAGGGTTGCAAGAGATATCAGGGCCAGTACGCTGGTGATAATGAAGCGTGGTGAACAGTGTGGACAGCCAGCATTAATCACAAGTCAGGAGGGACTTTCAGCTTTACATTGCTGGACCCGGAAAATCCAGACAATGGAGAAGAGAACACTCACCACTCCAGGAAGTTGTGGAGCAGGGAGTGCTCTTGGGGAGGAATGAGGTTTCTCTTAAGACGTGAGGGGGGGGGGGGATCAGGAACAGAGAAGTGTTTGTTTCCCATGAAATGTATGTTCAGGAGATGAAGAGGGAAATTTTTGGAGGGCAGAATATGACAAAAGGGAGAAAGAAAGCCCACAATAATCCTTGGATATGAATAGAGCTGGGGAAATTTCAGTTCAGGTGACAGTCAGTAATGCTAGTTTAAACCTTGCCTGCAATTTTGAATTGTTTCTTTTGGTGTATGTTCTAATTAGCTAGAAAATGTCTCAATATTCAAAGTATATGGGTATGATACTTTTTGAAAACATCTCAAGATGCCCTCTTATTGCCTTTAAATGGATCTAGCAATTTAGGACACGTCGTATTTTCCAGAAGTTTGTCATTTAACATTGTCAAGGACAAACCTGAAAGCAGCCTTATTTTATTCCTTTTAGATATTTTAATTATTCTTTTTAAACACGAATGGGATTTGCTTTCTTTTCATTTTTTGATGTTTAAAAGTTTACTGGGAATACATCTAAATGTTTGTCTCTCTAACTTTTCCTATGCTCACTAAATCCTTTCAATCAACAAATCTGCTCTTAAGGCTAGAACATTTTTTTTTCTTTTGTGTACTTAGTTATTGCTTCTATTATATTTGTTTAGGTTTCTTCTTAAGGAAAATCAAGTATGTTTAAATATTGTTCTCTATCCCTCTCATTTCATTACACATGATATTTGCCTTTCTTTATAGAATAACTTTTAGGGAAATTTATTTGTCAAGGTGTTCTGTGTCACTGATTCAATTTTCTGCAGTATCAGTTTTCTCTTTCTGGCTTTGAACAGAAATTTAAATGTTGGCATTGCATTTCAGCTTCCTATCATTATTTCCTTATCTTCTTTTTTTAAAAAAATCTGTCTGCAATTATATTTTTTTTAACATAGGTTAGCCTATCTCCTCTCTCATTTCTTTTTGGTTCATAGAATCCATTTTATTTTATTTTTATTGGTAAGTTAGCCACAATGTAAAATTTGAACGTTTTCAATAATAAATCTTTCATAAAACCATCCATTTCCTCTGTATCTTGAATGCTGTATTCTTGTTTTGCATATTGAATGTTTTTCTTAAAATCATATATTAATTCAAATTTAAATGAGGAATGTTCTATTTTACGGCTTGTCAATACATGAACTCTAATTTGTCCTCTCACTGTATAGCTTGGAATTTTTTGACTCCTAAAGAATTTTAGAGAGACAGGTGAAAGCAATGATAGCCACTGCTAAAATTTCCAGTATCAGTATAATCCTGTGGGTCTCAGCTAAACTGACTAGTGACTGTATGTCTCACCTCTTTTCAAACAACTAAATAAGAACAATATTATTACTGGATTATTTAAATTAATGTGGACTTGTTTTTCCTTGCCAGTCGTGGAGAATTTCAAAGACCACAAAATCCAATGTATCTTTTCTCTCTGGTTCCTTTTAGCTTTCCTTTGTATCATGAGCAGCTATATTTTACAAACAGGATTCTTTATTCCTTTACCATATTACATTAGAATAAATTTTGGTGCTAGGATGCATGTAGAAAGAAAAATTCTGAGAGATTATGAAACAACATAAGGAGATAACTCTGAGACAGGGGCAAGCGTTGTGGGTTGTGGATGTCTTGAAACCCTCCAACATCTTTCTGATTTGCCTATCTTTTGTCTTAATCCTACCAATAGAAATACCACCTGGGTTCTGGCAGACCACAGGCCAATATTTCAGTTCCTAGTGTTTTAGAATATTTATACCGCTTTTGGTATTTAATGGGATGTTGGAGGTAGAAAAATTGAGTAACACCTAGTTAAGTACAACCTTAGCATGAACATTTGAGCAATCCACATGCTGTTTATTTAGTGCTTATAGGTGGGTGGCCAGAGAAAGATGTATGATTTGTTCATAAAGCTGGGGTGAAAAACTTCTAAATGTAAATAAGAAGACAGAGGGAAACTCTAAAGAATGCCACCTGGATGAAAGAAGATGAGGAAGCAATGAATGAGACAGAGAAGGAGTAGTCAGGTTAAATGGGATGATAAGTTGGTAATGCTCTGAGAACAGAAGAAAACATTCTGCAAAGGTAAGTCTGTCTGAAGAGATGAAATGCTTGGTGGAGAAGTCAAGAGGGCTGAACTCTTGAAAAGATCACTTACCTTGGGAATTGGTATGACATTGACCACCTTTGAAGGGGAACTATAACTTTAGCAAAGTCGGTTGAATTAATCTTTTTTGAAGAAACAAGTGGGAAAATAAGTGATGCTGAGGAAGAAACTTAGGTGAATGTCAGTTTTCTGTGTCATAGGAAATAATGGATAAACTAACATCAGTAAATATGTAGTTGTTTTATTTTCCACAGAATACAATGTTTTCTTCATGGCAGCATTTAAAGAATGTTATTTTAAGTAATGGTAACCCATACCTTTTAAGGCCTTTCAAATAATTTCAGTTTAAAATGACCTTAATCATATTACTATACACACTGATTCATATCAAATTGATAACTAAAATGTACAGGGGAAATTAAGCAAGAAATGCTTTTAGATATTTGCATCATTTTTTATTTTACTTTATTATTATTATTTTTTGTATTTTCATTGATTTCAGAGAGGAAGGGAGAGGGAGAAAGAGATAGAAACATCAATGATGAGAATCATTGATTGGCTGCCTCCTGCATGGCTTCCACGTAGGATCAAGCCTGCAACCCGGGCATGTGCCCTGACCAGGAATCGAACCGTGACCTTCCTGGTTCACAAGTTGACACTCAACCACTGAGCCACACCAGCTGGACTATTTGCATTATTTTTTATATAAGGTGACCTTGTAGATTTTGCTGAGTATGCCTCATAACTTCATAAATTTAGTTTTTATGAATCTTGAAATCACAGTAGTGAGCATGTATTTACATATATATTTGTTTGTTTGTTTATTTGAACAGAACATAAAGGAACAAGGAGGGATTTGAGAAGCTATGCTAAGCCTTGGCAATTAAATGCAAAGAAGCCCAAAAAGTCAAAAAGTGACCTTGCTGTCTCTAATATTTCTCCACCGTCACCAGAATCCAAATCATGTAAGGAAGTTTGTTATTCAAAAAATTACTTAATGTATATGTAAGTCTGTGTTATTAACAAAGTGAAGAAAAGGTAAGAATTGAAGCCAAATGCTTTTTCTGATATTTCTGGCTATTAATCGTATGCTTTTTGTATTTATTTCAGCATTAACATTGAGCTTTATTTCTGTTTAGTAACTTATTCATATTCTTTTTTTAATGTATATTTTATTGTTGACAGTATTACAGCTGTCCCTGTTTCCTCCCTGCTTTGCCCCCCTTCACCCAGCCCCTCCATGTGAAATAGATTTATGCTTTTGGAGTATGAAAATAGAGAGTGCTTTTGGAGCATACTCTTTTAGGGATGTATTTTGCCTAGAATGGGTCCCTTGCCTCTCGTGGCCGGTTGTATCATTGTATTACATTCAAAGCAACACCCACCCTACATTTTAAAAAAGTACATAAAAGCAAATTAAATCTATTAGAGGAGGAGCAAATGAGATTTGTATTCAAAACATGTAACAAAATTTTATGAAGTCCTTCACCTATTATTTCCCTGAAGTCCTACTTATTATTTTTTACTAAAGCCCCTATATTTACTTCTGTTTTGTTCTCTCTCTCTTTTCCTCCCTCCCTCATTTTCTTATTCTTTACCCTCCCACTCCTGCCCCACCCCACAGTGATAAGTCTAGAGGCTTACTAATTTTAAAGGGCCAGTACTGGGTCCCGTCAACTTTAGGGGAGAATGCTAAAACGCTGCTCATTCTGAAGCGTCTGTGCTCCTAACAGGATGCTGCTGAGTCACAGACTGTTGCTGGTGATCTGGCATCTGATGGATAGTATCTCTTTCTGTTCAGGTGCCCTACTCCCAAGTTCTGGTTCCACCCAACCATTACCTTTTTAAAGCCAAGTTAATAACAAACTGAGCTTTTATAGTATATGTAGAGATTACATATATGACAATAAAAATACAGGGTCAGAATTATTAATTGGAAAAATGTAGTCAAAATACAGTATATTAAATTGTTCCTGAAGTAACAGAGTATGTTTTAAACCCACAGTGGGACAGGTTTAAGGTGCATATTGTAATGTGTAAAGAAACTCTACAAAGCATAAAACGGCATAAATAAAAGGTCAGTAGAGGAGTTAAAATGGAATGCGAAAAGAAAAATATAATTTATCCTCCTTAAACAAAGGCAGGAAAAGAGGAACAGAGAAATAAAAGATTGGGAAGATAGAAACCAAATACCAAGATGTTAGGTTGAAGTGAAAACATGTCAATAATTACAATAAGTATAAAGGTACTGAACATCCCAATTAAAAAGCAAAGATTATCAGGCTAGATTAAAAAAGAAATAACTATATCCTTTATCATCCTAGACATAAAAATATTATTATCAAATAGCAGTTTTATTGGTAAAGTCATTTCGAGGAAACAGCACATTTATTTTTAACCCATAGATAGGAACTTTTGGTGGAGGTCACAGTGAGTCAGAATTTGATTAGTATAATAAAGAATTGCTCAAAATTAGCCCTGTATAAAGTATACAGTATACAGTAGGCTGCGTATGAAGTAGCGAGCTCCTATGGGCCAATGGAGGATGCCATCTGCAGGGTACTATGGATGGACTCCTGCATTGGGGGTGAGCTTTGCCTCAGTGAAGCCATAGACGTGCCCTCTCTTAGGTTCTATCACCGCACATGTGTCATCTTATTTTGTTGATTCTGTTCTACTGTTTTCCATTTCTCCCGAGAATATTCGTTAAAATGTATTTAAATTGTAGTTCTCAGTTTTAAGATAATTAAGTATAACTAAGTAAGGTTTTTAATCCATCAGAAACCTTTAAGGGATGCCCTCCTCTGGAGGCTGTGTCCTTCCATTATTTATCAAAACATCTTTTGAAATCCCCAGCGTAGTTGATTTGACCATCATCATGCTGTGTCCTGGGTTGTCCTAGGTTTAGTTTCCTCATAAATTGGATATATGTGCATGAAAATTGCTGAGGAAAGTACTTGAGTGTTGTATCAGTTCTCTGTTGCTTCATATATTCTCCCTAAAACTCAATGGCTTAAAAAACAACAATTTATAATTCCTCATGATTCAGTGAATTGATTAGGCACTTCTTCTGGTCTTGCCATGTCAGTGCAGTCAGTTGGTAGGTCTGTGAAGGCTAGGATGCTTTGGGAGCTGGCCATGTCTGGTGGTTATTCGGAAATATTAATTGGGACTGATTTTAAAAACAAACACTAATAGCTTATTTTGTAAATTAAAAGGATAGAGAACTCTTGATAGCATATGTTAATTTGCAGGAAAATTAGATAATGCAGTGATTTAGATTAGAGAAATTGTTCAATGAAGGTTAACAAGTGCCAAACAGTCTTTTTTTTTACATAAGTTTTAAAAAATATATATTTTATTGATTTCAGAGAGAAAGGGAGAGAGAGAAATAGAACCATCAATGATGAGAGAGAATCACCGATCGGCCATCTCCTGCACGCCCCCACCAGTGTCAAGCCCATAACCCCTGTATGTGCCCCAAACTGGAACTGAACCCGGGACCTTTCAGTCCACAGGCCAAGGCTCCAGCCAATGAGCCAAACCAGCCAAACAATCCTTTGAAGGATATGGTACAAATATAGTTTTATCTGCTTCCTTTTCTGAGTTTCTCTCCCCTATGCCTGGGCTTGTTCCCAGAGGTCCCCTGGGGTAATAGCGGTGGGCCTAGAAGTCTTTTCTAGAATATTTATCACTCTCACTCTGTCCACTCTCCAGTGTTTGATCGCCAGTGTGTTGATGTTAGCTGATATCTCTATCCCAGAAGCCCTTAAATAAAAAAAGACAGAGGAAGCACTTGCATTCTATTTTTTATATTTTAGATTTATTTAAGTTACAGAAGTAATATTTGCTTATTTTGACAATTAAAAAATACAGACATGTAGATAGTTTTTCTTTCTTCAGTCCACTTAAATTCTACTCCCTCAGAAATAGTTTGTATCTTTTCATAGCCTTTGAAATAGGTTGCATTTTTTACATCCTTTTCTTTTTTAATAAAGGCCTTCCCAGACAAAAAAATGGCTATTACCACCAAACCAGCATTGTAAGAAATGTTAAAGAGACTGCTGTCATAGTAATAAGCAATATATATAGAGGGAAACATAGGTATAAAGAATACATCCTTTTCTTTGTATAAACTAACACAAAATGTATATGGGTTGACTTGCTTCCTAAAACTAGCCTTAAACTGTAAACACTAAATAACTTGATTTTATTATTTTAAAATGCGTTGTGGACATATCTCCATGCTAATAGACTAGGATCTAAGATAAACTTTTTAATAAGTGCAGACTGCATCATAGTGTGAATGTACCTTAATTTATTTATTCCCCTGTTGAAGGACATTAAATGATTTCCAGAATTTTTCCACCACAAACTGCTGAATAAACAAATTTATGTCTTTCACTTCCTGATAAAATAAACAATCTTGTAATCCTATCTAATAATAGAGAAACATGGTAATTAACCGTAACTTCGCTACCCTTCCCATTGGCTAATCAGCGAGATATGCAAATTAACTGCCAACCAAGATGGCGGCCGGCAGCCAGGCAGCTGAAACGAACAGGAGTCTTGCTTGCTCCAGTGATGGAGGAAGCCAAGGTTCTCCGCCTGCCGCTGCCGGCCTCTGAGCTGCACTCTAAGAAACAATGTTGCAATGATAGAAGCTAAACAAACCCCAGAAACCTTTCAGCCAGCCAGGCCTCAGATCTGGAGCGGCAACAGTGTTTCAATTATAGAAGCCTAACAAACTCATATACCTGTTTTCAGCAGCCGAGGTCTCAGAGGTGGAGCCGAGCCTCAGAGCTAAAGCCAGCTCTCAGCTCCAGTGACAGCCATAGAAGGTAAATAAATCGAAGA